CAGCCATTTTACTGTCACATAGGGCATCCATTTTACTTTCACATAGGGAAGCCATTTTACTTCCACATAGGGCATCCATTTTACTTTCACATGGGGCATCCATTTTACTTTCACATAGGGCATCAATTTTACTTTCACATAGAACAGCCATTTTACTTTCACATAGGGCATCCATTTTACTTTCACATAGGGAAGCCATTTTACTTCCACATAGGGCATCCATTTTACTTCCACATAGGGCATCCATTTTACTTCCACGTAGGGCATCCATTTTACTTTCACATAGGGCATCCATTTTACTTTCACATAGGGCATCTATTTTACTTTACATAGGGCATCCATTTTACTTTCACATAGGGCATCTATTTTACTTTCACATAGGGCATCCATTTTACTTTCACATAGGGCATCCATTTTACTTTACATAGGGCATCCATTTTACTTTCACATAGGGCATCCATTTTACTTTCACATAGGGCATCCATTTTACTTTCACATAGGCATCCATTTTATTTTCACTTGGAGCATCCATTTTACTTCCACATAGGGCATCCATTTTACCTTCACATAGGGCATCCATTTTACTTCCACATAGGGCAGCCATTTTACTTTCACATAGGGCATCAATTTTACTTCCACATAGGGCAGCCATTTTACTTTCACATAGGGCAGCCATTTTACTTACACATAAAGAAGCCATTTTACTTCCACATAGGGCATCTATTTTAATTCCACATAGGGAAGCCATTTTATTTCCACATAGGGCAGCCATTTTACTTTCACATAGGGCATCCATTTTACTTTCACATAGGGCATCTATTTTACTTTCACATAGGGCAGTCATTCCACCCTCACGTGGGGAAGCCATTTAACTTTCACATAGAGCATCCATTTTACCCTAACGTAGAACATCCATTCACTTACACATAGGGCAGCTATTATACCTTCATTTGAAGCAGCCATGTTACCTTTGCTGGAGGCTGCCATTTTGCCTTCACGTAGGAAAGCAATTTTACTTTCATTTAGAGAAGCCATAACATTTTCATTCTTCCTCTTTCAGGAAGATTATCCAGTTAATCATCTTCGTAATGTAGCTCAAGAGGGCGCCACAACACAATATATCTTCATTACAGAGATAGATTATTTCTATAGTTTAGACATATGTCAAAATCTCCAGTAAGTATTATACTCCTCAATACTTTAATGTATTTTCTCATAGTGATTATCCCCATTTCATTTCATCCGATTTAGACAATTTTTGTTCTTGAATTTGAATAAAAACACTGAGTAAATGTTGCACGTTTGAGTTCAAAAGTTATTTTTTACAGGAATCTTGTTTCAATGATTGAAGATCGAGAAAGAACTATGGATAAAAAGGTAATCTTAAGAATCTGTTGTCATTCTATGAAAATAATAATAGTATTCTTTTAAGAAATGATTTCCTAGTTAAGAAATGTGTAAATTTCGTGATTTTACTCCAATCGTTGGTTGCATTACGTCACGACAGTGCGCAAATGTCAAGTGACGATTCTATTGATTGTTTCAATATAGGCGATAGTCGTGCCGGCGTTTGAATCAAATCGTCTCTCAGATCGAATGATACCGGAAACAAAAGAGGAAATTGTAGACAAGTATCTGAACGAGGAATACCATTACTTTCAGTAAGTGTAGCGGTCAGGCATAATCTTTGATATTTTATTGCATTCTGTATAGTTTAACTATACTTTATAACGAGATTTTGATGACAATTATTTGTTAGATTTTAAGTTCTGTGGTGCTTGTTGTTAAACTCAGTATATTACCAACTACTGATATTAGACAAGTGTATTTAAATCAACATGCAATAGTATTAATTGAAATTATAACGAGGACGATACAACACAATCCACAGTTGTTTAAGGTTGCCACATTAGGGGTTTCTCCAATCTGATTAAAATCTGATGTTGTGTACGGGCTTTAATTATTGTGGCTATAAACTTATTTTAATTTTATTTTTTATTACTTTTGTTATTAATGCCCTTTTATTTTATTATTTTACTTTGATTTTGTGATTTTTTTTTAATTCTGCCCTACCTACATCTGGTTTCTCCATCAGTTAACTAAATATGCAACTATGGCAACGTCTGTGTTTCCAGGAAGCTGATAAGATAAGATCGTGTAATTTTCGTGTTTATATTTTGCAGTATGCTCTAAAATATTTTGTTTTTTTAAGGGATTGACCATTTATCGCTGTCTATCGTCTTTCCAGACTCAATTTCTTGGACGCGTCCTTGATCTTGTGGCCATAACTCAAAGTCAGTGGCTTGTAAAACTGTAATAAAATGTTACTATCTTTTAAACCATTTTGTGTGCACTGTTAGCGCAAGAAACAGTGTCGAAAGATGACATTTTCAATAGTGAAAACAGTTAAACACAGATTCCGTAAAAAACAAATAAAACATTTCTTCATGTTTGGCCGCGGGTAAACAACTGATCATTTATTCAGTCTTGCATCGTACATATTAAATGTAATAAAAGTTTAATAAAAGATACAATCTAATGTAACATAATTAATGATCTTTCCAAAAATCAATGTGTTCCTCCCCTGTTGCTACTGTTATGCAATTCATTATTACTTTTTTCTACGTATTTAAGGAATGCACCATTATTATTGTCAAGATTTAGACTGGAAACACAATTACATGGCCACTGCATACACGCATTATAAGAGTCAAATTTCCACTAAGAATATAATAATTTTATCGCAATTGACATTTAATCATTTTTTTAATTCTATCATAGCCATACCATATATCCCGGTGGACATAAGCCAACAAACTATGAGAGATGGATTGACTCGTCAGAAGAATACAGGGTTAGTAATCATTTGTAAGCATTTTACCGTTATTGTCACCATTTGTCTCAGTTCGCTGCCTTATCACTCATGGCAAAGAAATCAACTATATATATGCTGCCTCATCATTCATGAAAATGAAATCAACAATATATATGCTGTCACATCACTCATAACAAAGAAATCAACATCCAGTATGTATGTCAATATACTTGAATATATTGCCCTTGTCGTATGACGTTCACCGTTGAATACAATATCCACTGACCTCCACCAGTGTACTAGCCATATATTATACCTCATATTAAACACAAATATCACTTCCTTGATATCATATCTAGGTCAGATGGAATAGGGGTTATGAACCTTACCTGGTGCTTAAACGAAAACATTCACCAGAATTTCCAAAAATATTTTCTGGACGTGGATATAACAAGGGATCGCATGTCATGAGATTGGTAGCGCAGGGGTAAGTTTTTAAATATGGATACAATTTCCTATTTCGGTTCTATGTATACATTTATGTAAAAAACATATTATCAGTATTCTAAAACCCATCATAACACACTGTGTCAAACATACAATACGGCGAATAAAAGTTAGAATTAACAGTCACTCGCCGGGTGCAATGCAAATTACTCTCACAACTCGGTCTGTCAAATACATGTAGGTTGGTTAATATTATAGTTATATTTCTAGTAATTAACCACTTTCACTTTCTAGTAAGTAATTGTACTTCACATTGTACTTCAATGACTGACTGAAAGTGCCATTATATTAATATTTAGTCGAAGTCTAGTATAGAATGCGCCATCTAAAACATGGACACTTATGTATCTGCCTGAGACTGGTATTCCCTGTATAATCTAGTTGGCGACTTACAATGAAGCGTCATTAATGGAGCTCTACACAATCAGCTGGTTTATATTTTATGCTATTCTCATCGATTCAGATAAATGTCCTCTTCGTCCTATTTTTTAAATATTTATCGAACGAGGAGATATCGCTTCTCATTTGCTTCAGCCTGGTACAATAGAGTACCTTTTCGGTGGTTTGTCTTATTACTACCACATCATTCACAGATATTATTGTTGCATCAATATGGCAACATATTTCCGTGTCATCATCTCTATAGACACAATGTTCCCACACCGAAATAGGACCAATAAACAATATGAATTTGAGTTCAACTTTTACATATTTTGTATTATTTCTATAGTCCCATGTTTATACCTGTGTGGTTTATCGACTTAAAAAAAACAAATGGTAGTCTGTTTTACTGTTTATTTTGGCTTTGATTTTGACAACGCGATTGCAGTGAGAACGGTTTTCATATGGGGTTCTAGGACTGTACTTTGTCTTTGTAAATACGTTATCATGCTTTTAATTTACATGTGAACCATTATGCAATACAATACAACACAATATGATTGTTTATTCTTATATCGTAGTTACGAGCTCGTGGTATCACCTGATACTTTCATGGTTCACATGCCACACTGGGTCAGCGATAGTCGACGACTCTACCTCACCAATTTACAATACCAGAGGTAAGCACAGCTCCTCGTACTGGAGGATAGTTTGTAACATATGACTACGCATTGGTATAGATGATGTGAATCTCAGAAAACGGTTAAGTTGTCTTTTTAGGTGTTTTGACTATTATGGACAATAATGGTGAACAGAGGGCTGCACTATGTGGTTGTGTATTACTTTGAACGAGTTATGTTCTAATTCAACTCCATATCGTATATTATTATACATCTGTCACCGTAACGCCATAAGTTACAGCTTGTCGTAATTGTGTGGTATTTTACGGGGTAATTTCATCCTACCATTCCAAATATGGAATGATTACGCGTGTAAGCATCTTTTAATATTAAAAACAAACTTGACTGCCACCAGGGTTTGTCTGGACTCAACACAAAGAAGTTCGCTGATTCCGTTTTGGATTTTTTGGATTTCGGAATTCCCAACAGGTATCATTGGAAGGAAAAGATGTATAATAATAAGGTTATTACGAGGATACCTAAAAGTATGCACTCAGACAGTACGCCGTCGCATACTTCTATTGTACTGTCTTTGTGCATACTTGTTTCGAATTATTCGCATGCTATTGATATCGCCGAGGTGATGTCAGTGTCAGTTGTACCAAATTATGCATTTTCAGTATAACAATATGTTTATCGGTTATATTTGAACAGTTACTTGTACAAAATGTGTTTCCCCATAAATAATTACGTAGTGAAAATAATCCATTCTATTTCCTATATTGTATTGATGTCCAATGCTAATAGGACAGTCACGAGCCCTAATCGACAAAAAGTGCAGATATTGAAAAGTATTAATTTACAGTTTCATTTCGAACTAACCATCATATTGTCTCATTCTATTTGCAGGTGCCTGAGCTGGGCTAAAGTTCGTTTTGATCAACAGCTATACTCGAGTCACAACATCACAGAGCGAGATATGAGAAGAGGCGGATTTTAAGAGATGACCTCGGAAAACAGTTGCCGATGAACTTAAAACATTTGAATTACCTCATTTGCAATTCTCCATAATGGGGAATCTAATTTATTACAATATTTATATCGAATATGACGTATACTCGACTCAGCCTCATGGCACCTTCTTTTGCATAACTTTTCATAATTTTCTATTTTATCAATGCAAATGTCTGTGATTGGTTGGCTGTGCAGAGTGGTACTGTCTATATCACATTTTCTACTGTCAATAATTTATTATGAATTCTTAATAAATGAAGCCTAAAAGCGTTGTATAATTTCTTTGGTCAATATTAGTACATTGTCTTAGTCAGATTTAAGTTCTTCCAACACTTAATTGAACACAATGTCCTAAGAAACGCATGCCACTTATATGCTTACTGATTAATTATTAATTACATTTCACAAGGCCATTTGGATTTTCTGACATATTCGTAAAATACGTATGGTTATTATACATTTACAACGATAATATGCAGACACGTGAAATGTTAGGAAAATGACTTAGTTGCGTGAAGAACAATTTATTTTCAAAATAAACTTATTCAATTGTAATATTCTCTTACCAACGTGACAGATGATATGTGTTCCACACCGATGGGGGTCGGGACATGGAAACAGTAGTGGTAATCAGTGATGGTGTGTCATTCCTTCTCAAAGGTAATAATCCTGACATATAATAATATGACTCGTGAATTATAAATTTGTCGGTTGAAAATTATACTGTATGGCCTCCTTAGCTCAGTGGTTAGAGCACTGGTCTTGTAAACCATGGGTCGTGAGTTCGAATCTCACAGGGGTTTTGCTCATTTGCAACACATTTTTATATCAATAACTATGTTTCATGTGGTTTGAATGACTTATATGTACCATTAATCCAAAATGCACATGTATTGCATTCTGTTATTTAACTAAACAATTATGATATTGCGTTCAGAATCAATATGTTATACAATCTGGTCTGTCTATACAATAGGTGTCAAACAAATACTTTTATCTCGTAACATATATAATACACATTTATCCGCGAGCGAATATCCCATATATCATAAAAATAATAAATACTTGTAGAATTCCCGGCTTTGTTAATGTTACATCTCTCGTGCAATTTACGTTTTGATTGTTTCTCTGAAACAGTTAAAAACAGAAGATTTGGAAGCGGAGAAATGAGTTTAATTGTTTATTTTACCCGGATGAGATGTCGTCAGAGACCAGCAGTAGTTATAATTGCGTCAGATGTGTAGTCAGGATTTTTGTAACAAAGTGGTTGACATCTCACTGGTATTGTCCTCTTTATAATGTTATATTTCACCCCCATTTGTATCGGCAGAATCCTGAACAAGAAGGTGGGCAAACTAAACATACACAACCCCAGTCCAACTTCAAGCCCCACCGTCTCGTATACCAGCCTATTATTATGTGATTAGTGAATAATCTTGAACCCAGAACGCGTCTCCTGTTCTGTAAGCCCTCAGACCAAGTGTAGATTTCATTAGCCTAAAATTAAAATACGATTGAAAAGGAAATTATCCCCATCTTTATCAAGGCCGCCACTATTTTGGCATGATCAAAAATATTAATGGATTAATTCAATGGATATATGTGATGGGACCATTATAGACATAAAACAGTCATACAATAGATTTTTTACAGCTGGCTGCATTTGTTTTTATTGCGTTTGAATCAATGAATCGATCGATCGAATCAATCAATGACCAAAGCTATTTCAAAGTTCACTTCATCACCAACAGACTTCGTATATTTTTGCCAATATTTCAACCACTATGACGTCGGAATACAAAATACTAATTTTAGCTTGGAAAGCTGTTCATAAAATACAATTAACTAATATTACTATCAACACTAGTGGAGCCCATTACCGCATATTACTGCTACTAGCGATTGAAAAGTACAACACACGATAGAATCAAACGAAGTTATAGAAATAATTAAAACTGATACATTGCAATACGTGGAATGAAATTCAAGCAGATAACTTCACTTATGTATTCTAAAAATGAGTACAATTGTCAATATGTTTGATGTTCGTGTTTGTTAATTTGAATGACAAATAACGTATTTAGTTGGACAAATGTGAGACTTTCTTCATTCAATGTACAGTACAGATATTATAAAGGTACACATCCTTTGAACACAGTTCAGCTAATATATTCTTGAAATTTCGTCTTTACAGCATGAAAGCATAATAAATGTGATTTATAACAAAAAATTATAGCGACAAATTGTAAATGTATATATTTACTAGCACGCGATAGCGAAGTCGTTTAACCTCGCTTTCAAGTGTCTTTCTGACGTCATACATTAGCCTCGATTTGATGTTCTACGTTTTCTTTGGCAGATAAATCCTTTGCCTGGGAATCGTCGACAAACTCGTTGCCAATGGCTACCACAGATACCACTACATACGCCAGGATTACGTGGGTTACACGGTTTACCGATAATGAAACTGTCAGACTGTTCACTCAACGAGCAATCCATCTAAGAACAAAAACATACAACATACAACTGCAATAACGCGGACAATAAATGATGTGAAAAGGGTAAGGGTATTGAACAAATTTGTAGTGTCCGTGTAATTCACCTTGCAGCAAATCGTAGAATGTAAACAGTTCGAACAACATCTCTAGCTATTATCGCATACATAGACCATGTGATCTGATATTTCTGTTTCTGACGGATTTAAACAGGTGGAAAATACGTCAACAGTATGGACCTGTACATATTTTGAAACCAGTAACATTATATATATTTACGCATACTATAACAATTTTACCCAAAATTACTAAACATTTACACTTGCACGTTTTCTGATTTTAAATGTACACTCCATATACATGTATACTGTAGCAATCTCAACTTTACGTGAAATATATATATATAATACCCTATTGTGTGAGTTTAAAAGCGTGGTTCCCGACGTTTGCAACATCGGAATTCTCACTGTGTATGTTTACGTCTAACTAACAGTATCGACTGAATTACAGGGTAATCACACACGAGACAGTTATAAAATAAATTGAAAACCACAGAAAATGATTATTAGTACAAGTCACGAACGTTATTTGTTTTCTACTTTATATGTTATGTCCGAATTAGCTATGGAATAATCATTCTTACTTAGCAAGTAACGACCTGTTGTGATAGAGTTTACAGGTATTTATTACAGTAAAACATGTCGGTGAAATCCCACCGCTGCCACTATGTGTTGGCATAGTGAAATGCTCCTTGTTATTTTTTTCTATCTAATTTTTAAAAAAGAAGAAACTTCCCTTTCTTAAGTTCCATCATGTAGCATTTCTCAAGACATCACTTAACATTAAAAAAGCGTACTTACCCAACTGTCATCTGGATTGATAAGGAAAGGCTTTTTTTCCATTTCATTTTTTTCCACATCATTTTTTTCTTCGTAATCAGGTGCATGTACTGTCTCCATATTAATATCTTCATCATGTCTAATTACTGTTCCAGACACAAAGCCAATTAATATATAAATCATTATCGATAACATACGTGTACGGTTGAAAAACATATCGATGTCTTGGAATACACGCGAGTTTGTATTACTTGTGTTAGCCTAAGGAAGTTACTGATATATATATATACTATTCTTCGTCTGCTAGAGCGTTGAGTCAGTGTTGTAGATGAGTCATGCAGAACAGATTATTTGAAAACCCGAACTGTTAGCTCGTAAACGTAGTTGTGTGGAAACCTTAAGTGCTAAACTGAATATCTCTTCGACAGGGAACTGTGAAATGTGTGAAACGTTGGGGTATATGTACGTGCGTCTTGATTGTAAACTAAACAGAAAGTTGAGTTGAATATGAATTAAACTAACAACCCTTGATCTAATATGCCATATATGGAAGTAATTGTCACGTGTTAGATTATCAGACTTTTGTTACTATGAGTGAGCGACACACTATGTGGGTGTCTTTATTTTGACAACTTCTCTCTTAACAACATAACACAATCACTTAAAATAAATACAAATTCATTATCACTCAACATTCAGTAAGAACAATTATAAACTTCTAATACCACATTATTTACAAGTAAAACTTCCTACTAAGTGGTAGTGTGCAAAGAACCACATGTGTTTGTAACGATTCACCAATATCGAAATATAGACCAATTACAAGAATGTTCGCTCTTCCAATTAAAATCTTTTCATTCCGATGTGTTTGCTTATGTATCTACGTAAAAGCTTTCGTCATACCTATCGTCGATTAAAACTGGATCAATATCGTAGGCGGAATTAACCCAATATTGCATGTACAATTGGTCTCACGGAGAGCACATTCAGTTGAGAAAGCATTTCCTAATGGTGGTATTTTTCTGCACTCAATAATCTTTGAGTGGGTCAATTTAAATGTGTACAGTGCATATTACTGTCTACATTGGCACACGTGTACAATCTTTCATTTACAAATTGCATAGTTGGTAGATTATTTTAAAGCTAAGATTGTACAGTATTTGATTGCGATGGTGTGTCAGAAATAATAGTCCCCGGTACGTAATGATGTGTATTTCATGTTTTTGCAGAGAAGTATTTTAAAATGCTGGGAGGGAAAGTTTTTAAAAATCGGGAGGGCAAAAACGATGATATTAACAAATGTAATGTTGATTAACGAATTGTTGCACAATACAAATGTTACTCCAGCATTTGGTTGCATGGGAGTGCAGTGTATTAATACTATTATGATGATGGTAGAATTGCGTGTTGCTTTGGCTTTTAATTTGTTCAATTCATTTCGATTTTAAATCTCAGGTAAACTCTAAAGTAACAAACAATTGATGAAGTCGCCAAATGATACCTGGAACGATCCTTAAGTTGTACAACTATATGTATTGATGAATCCATTCTAGATTCTTCTCTGTCGTGTCTGCATATTACATATGATGTGATACACACTGTTTATTAATGTATTAATGAATGCTTTAAATGCTTACTGAATTTGAATTGTA